AACACACCAAAACAACTCAACAAATAATTACCTGTCATAAATAATGATGCTTTCCTAAGCTTGAGGCTTTGTGAGAAGGATAAAACTGTTTCTTTGTTTTCAAATTCCTGTTATTAGTTTAAAGCAAAATAGTAATAAATTACGTGTTTTCTTATTTGGACTGTATAGGACTGGCCACTATAATACAAACTGAAGCTTCTTCCCTATTGTGTTGTGGGGATAGGTAACTTTGTATGGTTTCCAAAAGCACTGGATTTCTTTAAATAAATAAAGTGTTTTTACTAGATTATGCAGAGATTGACAGGCACTCAAAGTCAAGTGTTCTTAGAAATTGTTGACACTTCAAAATGACAATGGAATACAGTACAGGAAGAAACCTAAAAAAGCATCAACCCTTGCTTTTTCCTTTAATTATTTAATTCTTCCTTTAATAATAATTTTGCAATGTCTTTGCCAAACCTTATCATTGGCATTACTATTAATAATCTTATTTCAAGAATATTTAATATTGTTATATCGATTATGTGATTCTTATATCGATTATGTGATTCTTATATCGATTATGTGATTCTTAAATTCTACCTTTAAAAGCAGAAACTTGATACATAGGTATTAATGTACAGAAAGAGTATCAGTCATTTATTTTATGGAACTGTTTTGTTACAGTTATTGTATTTTTAAGGACTTCCAGTTTTTCTGTATATCCATCGTCACAATTCATCCATGAGCTAGGGCAAATAGGATCACTGTCATACAAGGACTGGGGAACTGAGGCCCACTTTGCCAAGAGGTATCAAAGCATCCAAGTGAGCTTTGAATACCAGAATCCAAAATTAAAATGCTCCTTTTTTTTTTTTTTCATTTTTCCCAGGAAAGATCCCAATACATTTTGAAAAGTATTTTAGGTTTGAAACACGCTTTAATAAAGTGTCTAGTGCTTAAGTCGGTAATGAAGCATGTGGAGCCTCCAGGTTCAGTTTTCTGTTCTTCTCTCTGACTCTTATAGCAGATATAGATGATGGGCTCCAGGCTGATTGCTGATCTGGAGCCTGTGCGGTGCTCAGGCACTCGCTGCCTTCTCAGTGAGCTTTTGCACCGAAGTTGACCAAGAGTGTCAGCATTCGGCTGGTGATTGAGGCATGAATGCTTTTGTCTAAAATGTTGGAGGCATGAATTCAGTTCCTGCTTTGCCTAGTTAGGATTGAAATTTCTCTAACGTCTGAGTTGTATTGCCATAGAAATAGAAGAAAGTAATGTGCAAAGAAGTTATTTAAGAGATTAGTGGTATAACATTCACATTTAAAATTTGACAAGTAACATGCTGTGAATCAGATTTTTGTTGCTTGAAGGATTGTCAGCAAGGTTTCATCTTTCCTGTGTATGGTTTGGAAAGCCAAGAGACTCAGATGTTCTTGTTTTGCAAGCCTAGAGAGGCATGATTTTAACCTATCCAATGAGGGAAATGAATATCTAACTGTCCTCAGAGCATGATCCTGTTGTTTGTGATCAGCTTCATTTGGCTTAAAAGAATTTATAAGTAGAAATTCAGAATACATAAAAGTAACAGTAGGATATGAATATGTAAGTAACAAGAACCCTGTTTCAATAAAATTGTGTTGAAAGAAGACAAATTAATTCTTTTTACGTATCTTATCATTGTTGCATAGGTTTCTCTTTGTTGTGAGAGAGTGAAAAGATTTGGCACTTGATCATGAAGCTTATATTTTGAACAGGTGAAAATACAACTTCCTTTCTTGATGTGTTAGTGCTCTTCTTGTATTTTGTCTATGTAAACAGGAAAAACAAACATCAAACCAAACTGAATTTGGAGAAGTCTGTTATATTTTTAAGTCCCAGTGTAGCTTGTGGACTTCCACAAAATCAGGTTAGTTACCTGATATTGGCTCTGAATATCACAGAATACCTTGCTTAAAACAATGAAGGGCTTTCCACAGTTTTCCACAGTTTCACTTCCACGTAGAGTCTTTCCATTTGCTTTCAAAGAAAGCCTAACAAAATTTAAGCTCACCTTCTTCTTCTCATTACCTCATATCTTTTAGCCATTTGCCCCCCCATTCCACTTTATCCCTTATTACAGACACAGAAACTAGACATTTGGTATATGTTGTTTAACCTTGTTTTGACGCAGTAACGTTTTCCACTCTGCTTCACATCTTACCGTTTCATTTTTCTACTTCTCTCATTTTCTTTTATGTTAGAATTTTCTAGTTCAAAACTGGAAAATTATGTTTAATTCATTGTGAAATAAAAGGTTTTGAGTTTTTTTGCATGTGTGTGAAATGGTAAAAAAAAAAAAACAAAAAACAAAAAACAATTTGTTTAGGTTGTTTCTGCAGTGATTTTTTTTCAGTCATGTTTAATTTTAAAGTCTTTGAGCATGTGGAAGGAAAGATATTAATAAATTAATTACATCCCGGGGATAGAACAGTATTCTTTTTATGTTTGAAACCTTCCTCCTGATTCAAAATAAAAGGCAAAATATTTTGTTTTAGAAAATATTGTAGAAGAGCATTTAAATTAGACCCTCTCTCTAGTTTTTCCATCAAGGCTACATCTACACATTGTTTCTGCTCTGCAGTTCTAAGGTACAGCCCCCCAGTTACAGATCCAAAACATCAGCTAAATTTCTATAATCTCTCTGTTCAGCCATTGAGATCCTTTTCTCTGGCCTTGGCAAGTGCAACCTTCTCATACTCTCAGCCAATCAGGATTCTGTTGTAAAGTATAATATTTAAAGTATAATATGCCTCATCCTTATGTAATTTTGGAATATCACACTTAATTTTTCAATTGTTTCCTCTTTTCTCTGCTATATTGCACAGAAGCTACTTGTCTTCCCATTCAAAGTACTTCAGGACTTGTTCCCATTCAATCATCTCTCATTTAGTATTTACTGTTAGTAGAATTTTATTCTGATTGTAACCTGTTCTATTGTAATCAATTTAACTCTGCATAAGCTTGGTTAAACTGAGCCCTTTTGGCTGAGGAGCTGTAGCGTATCACTATCTGTACAGATAAGTCACATCCAGGGAAATGTGCTATCATCTCCTTGGTACAGATATCACAGCCAGTTGAGGGTTTGGGTGGGAGTGTTTGCACAGCTGTTTGCCTTGTGTTATGTCGTCTTTGTGGGCTTACAGCTTGCTTGCAATCAGATTAGACAACAAAGCTTTGAACAGTATGAGGCTGACTGTGTTTAAATTCACGGCCCCCAAAATAATCTGACTAAGCACCATAGGTACAACGTGTTAAATTTTTCAAAGACTAGATGTAAATAATAACTGCAGTGACAAGCCGAGATTTTCAATTGTGTGTGCAGTAAATACTGACTGCTGAATCAAGACATTGCTCTTTTCAACTTTCCATTTTGTTACTCCTGCTGAAGTTCAGAATCAAAAGTTTCCTGTTTTGAGGGTGCTGTGAACAGGAGAATAAAGCATAATTAATAAATGCATAATTAATTTTCAATAATTTTGAATGTATCACCCATTTTAAATTTATTCTCAGAATTGAATAAAGAACTCCCAGAAAAAATAACCACAGATTCTAAATATCTGTTTGCAGTTTGGAGGATGGAAGTCAGGTCCTTCTTTAGTTGTAAGAATGTATTTGCTAACCACAGGATGTTTAGTGATGAGGGGCTAGAATTGCTACTAGAAGTTTCTATCAAATTTCTTGGATATGTTCTGTAGAGAAGATCTAGTTAAAATGTCAGTGTGAAGGATATTGTAGGTAGATCACTTATTTTGGTTGTTATCAGTCCTTTTATAATTAGAGTTTCTGAATGAATTTGGTTTTTTTGTTGAATTAAGTTACTTGCTTTTAAAGTTAACTTTTATCTTGATGAGGATGGGTGCTATTTAGGTTATAGGACTGATCTTATGCTCATGTCAGCTGTTGCTGGAAACGGTAGAGACATTTGGAATCAGGAATTATCAGCTTCACAAAATCATCACGACTCCTAGAAAGAGTTCTGCCAGATTCCCAAATGAGTCAAGCCATATTTGAAAAATCTGTGGATCTAATTTATGTGTCTTTTTTTCCCCTCTGATAATCATAAATGAATGTTCTGATAATACAAAGTTCTATTCTTGGCCGTCAACAGAAGTACAACAGAGGTACAATGTGCCAGTGCAAGAAATCAGGAAATGAAAGTAGAAATAACTGTCGTGATTACAATGGCAATTTACAAAAAGTTTTGTTTGATTGAGTTTTGTTTTGCTTTTTTGAATGGGGGGATTAAAATGATAAAAGTGAATATTAGAAACTCCAGTCAAAGACTGACATAAGCAGAATGTATGTGTGAGAGATCTGAATTTTCTTGGAGCTTGCATAGTAGAAATTAATGCATCATTGCTGACTCTTGGGATAACATTCTTTCTTTACCACTCAGAACAAAGGTTCTGTTACAATTCTGTAACTCTGGATCAATTAAATTCCTGTAAGCTAATTTATTCTAGAGAGAGTGCATTTTTCTATTTGCATGTATTCTGTTATTTTACTAGTCAGAAATTCTCAGGCTAGAGAATAACATTTACAAGGAGTGAATAAGAATTTCCTGCATTTTGTTAACTTCAAAATTCCACTACTGTTTTCCATTCTTGCGAAGTAAAGGAAGGCTGCAACATTTAACATTCTCCAAGAAGCTAACTAATTGTATTACATGTTTTATCTTATCAATTGAAATAAATAGGGACCATGAAAACTGTTTTTCACCTTCTACAGTTATTTCTTCTGAATGATGAAGCAACAGAAACACAAAATTAAGAATTATTTTAATTTCAGACTACTTCAAGTTTTTGTTACCTCTAGCATGTGTGAACTGATAGTATATTAAGTGTGTTTCTTCTTGAGTGATTGAATGGAACTTGTGTTACTGTCAATGAGCTGCTCTTCTAGTTTCTAATGTATTATTCTAAAAATTATCTTCCAATAACATTGTTGAATAGAATTTATAGAACTTCTTGTGTGTTTTGTAGGGTTGTGACTCTCAAATGAGCATGTCAGAAGTATCCTGCAGTGAAAGTACCTCCTCTTGTCAGTCTCTGGTGCATGGCTCAGCTCCAGAAATCCTCATTGGCCTCCTTTACAATGCTACAACTGGAAGATTATCAGCAGAAGTGATAAAAGGCAGCCACTTCAAAAACTTGGCAGCAAACAGACCACCCAGTGAGTGAAAATCGTTTTTCATCCTAATGCTTCTGTACTGGTGGGGCTCTTAGTAGTAAGGACTTCAATGCTATCATTTAGTCTTGCCCAATCAAAATGAAATGGAGCAATCATCAACTAATCTGTTTCATGTTTTATATTTCTAGTCAGTTGGGAAATAGCAAAAATCTAAAATTCAAAATATTAATTGTAAGTTGACAAGCCTGCTTTAATTTTTCATGATGACTGACTAATAAATTACCTTTATCATACTGATTAATTGCTAAATTACTAATGCCTCACATCACAGGCCAAGAATAAAAAGTTAATGTTTAAAGAGAAAGTACATGCCAGTTGATATTAATATAAACACTATGAAGTTATTGCTCTTCCTAGAGGGTTTGATACTGCAGCCTTTGATTGCTTATGTGGTAGAAATGTATTTGATTTTGGAATGTCAGCGAAAACAATGTAGAAGCAAATTGAGACCTTTGGCATATATACTGTGCAGAAGGAAGATTTATAATCAGCATTTGTTCAGAAATATGTTTGTCTGAAATATCTGTGAACTTTCTATAGTTTAAATTGAGCCAGATGGAATGTCACACGCAGAATATTTTTACTGTCTCTAATTCTTTGATAAAGCTTGAGAAAGCTCAGTAACAAACTTTTAAAAGTGTTCTGTAGAAGTTGAGTCTAATTTACATTAGTTGTAGCCAGACTTACTTACCTGTTCCTCTTGGTTTGGTCCTGAGGCTCAGGTTTTAGCCTTTCTGTTTCCGAATCTTCAGATTTGTATGGCACTATCAGATTATCCAGCAGGCTGCCAACGTTTTGTAAGTGGTTTTAACATCTCACTTTGCCTTTGGAGTTTAGGAAGTAAGCCAAACAAGTTGAGACTGTTTCTGTCGTCTTTCTTTCTTGACCCATGTTTTATTTCAGTCATTAATTACATTTGGCTCAGCTGTATTCTGTTTTGCTCTCTGTATATTTTTCATGCTGACTTAGCCAGCCTTCATTAACATTGCCGGAGAAGGAAGGCCAAAGATGAATCTCAAATACTTTTTTATAACTAGGTAGCTTCCCCAGAATCACCTATTTGGAGACAAAGCATAGAAATAGATGGGAAAAGCCAAGAGCCAAGGACAATGGAATCTCTAGGGAGAGTCAAGTTTTTCCACTTGGAATATGCAAATTAGTTGGGGGTGGAGAGTCTGTACTTATTTTGAAGACAGATAGGCTAATTCCCTGGTAAGTTAATTCGCAGAGTGCGTGCTTGTGTTAACAGTTATGTACACAACTAGGATCAAAATTTTTGGTTTCAGATTGCACAGAACATGACACGCAGCCCTGTAATAGCATGTTCTGTCTTACCCTTTTTGGAGGAAAGATTTCGTGATGACAAAAGTTTCCAAATAACTAGTCTTGCATGTTATCTTTTTTCATCCCCTCTGAAAGGTAGGAGGAAGTTTTGATATTCATAATGAGTCTCGTTGTTTACACAAATGTGGACATGGAGTTTTATTTCTAGACAGCTGAAAGGTAGTACACCCTTTAGGTCTGGCAAGACAGTGCAGAATATTGTGGAATTCAAATTTCTCCAGTGGATTGTTTTGTGCACGAAGTGAAAATCCCTTGGAAATTCCTGGAACCAGGTGCACGTTTGTCATTCCCTAACTCCTTGCCATGTGCGTTGTGGCTATACACCAGCCTCTCTCATAATTTCCACAGAAGGCACATAAGGTTGATGATGAAATGCTCTGACCTCATTTTTTCTTGAATCATCAGTGGTCTGGAATCTTTAGGAGTGCTGCAAATCATGTGCACAGGCCAGTTTTTGTTTAGGTCATGAGAAACTGCAATAGGAAGGGTAGCGATTATTCTTTCTCTCAAATAATCGTTTTGATATTCTAGAGTTCGTTAACTTATTTTCTGTGAAATGCTTCTGCAGTAAGTAGGATTGAGTCCTACATTTCTGGTTCTTGGTAGTCTATATTCTTCTGTGGCGTATTTCTTATATTATTTAGTGTTTCATTTAGCAACTAAGTACAAGCAAATAGGCCAAATCCTGTAAGCAGTCCAAGCATGTTAGAATGTGTCTTGGTTTCTCTTGTGACAGTGTATATTTTGTCTGAGAAAAGAATGTTTCCTAGTATATCTTAATTTTTTTTTTGAAACAAGGTATGAGTTTTTGCACATTAAATGCATGTGTGTATATGCACACAAAATCCATAGACATGAGTTTTAATAAGTGAGATCTGTACTTTTTTTATAGAGAGATCCATATATGAAATTCAGATTTAAGCCTCCCTCAGCTTTTTCTAAAGCTTGGGTTACAGTCATTCTTATGCCCAACTCCGTCACAACTCAAGAAGTAAAGAATTACAATCATGTAACCATAACTGTAACATCTAAGAGCAGTAGAATCTTATTTTTTAGTACAGTGATATTTTGCTTTATTGCTTTTCATGTAAGAATTATAACCACTGTGTGCAGTTTTTCTAATATGCTGGAGTTTGCATGAAAAAGCATAAGGGTTGATAAAATGGATAGTGCTCTTTACCCAGTCCTCTATAACCTAATCATTTTCATGATTCTTTCTGTGTTCTGTGCGCTTTAGAACCCAGTAGCTATAACTGCTAAGACAATCCATTATACAAACAGTGTAATTTCTGTTCAAGATTACACAAAAACTGCACAAAAGTATCATTTCATGAAATTTTACCCAACAATCCTTTTGTTCAATCCTATTTCTGATCTATGCTGCTAAGATTTTGTGTTCTTTCAGTCCTGTGAATAGTGTTTCCTCTTAAACTTTAACCTTAGATCCTTTCTCACCCAGCTATTGACATCTGGTCATTATTTCTTTTACTGCTTTCCACCCCCTGTTGTCAGATGGACTGTTCTGTTGTCTAAAACACTTGATAGGTGGACAGGTTTATATAATTCGAGGTGAGTTCCTGTAGAAACTAATTGGATGTTGTCTTTTTCATGCAAAGAAAACTTGCCAGCAGTAAAGCTATCCACGGCTGCCTACCATACTGGTTTATGAATGTGTATGCTTATTATTTCTTGCACTCTCTCGTTCACAAGTTGCATCTATCTCTGATTATGGATGGTGGAATTTCAATGTACCTGCGTGAAAGTGTGCAATGCGTTTCTTTTTAGAAAAACTTGAATCTTTTAATGTTATTCAGTAACAGTACAGTTACGAAGAATAAAAAAGAGAAAAAAATCAGATTACTTAATATAGTTGTATGTTTCTTAAAATCCGTTATAACTTCATGAATACATATCCTTCTGAAGGAGCATGACTTAGTGTTTCCAGTCGTGTGAAAACAGAGCTTTAAAAAGAAGCATTTATACCCATATACTGGCATTCAGTGTGTGCTAGCCACGTTTACTTGCATCAGATTCCTGTATCTACTTCCTAAGATCACTAAACAAGCTATGTTTTATGCTAGCATACTGAATTATGTTAAAAAACAAAAGTGTATTATTTCATGAATTTAAGAATTAAAAGCTTGTATTGTGCAAAATTCCACCTTTGGATGCACTTTGCAAGGTTTTGGTCTTAAAAATGAATAAACTCAAAAAGCCCAAAGTGAGAACCACATCCATGCAGAGATTATTCTTAAGCACTTAATTTTGGCTGTTGTGATATCATCACTGCATATCAACATGTGTTTTTTTTTTTATTATTTTTATTTTTATTTCTCTTCACTACTTATCTTGATTCAATTTTTGTTCATTCTTATTCTCTGAAAATTCAGTGGTATGCTTTACAGTGTTGTGGCTAGTTTGAGCTTGCTAAGTGTTAATGCAACTTAAGTTTGCTTGGTACAAATGCGGACTGGATGGGAAGAAGGATAATGAGGTATACCTTTAATTTAAGCCATTTACGTAGTATTGAAGCCAGTTAATTTGTTACTGTGTTTGTAATATTTTGCTTACATGCCATCTTTTTCATGTGTCTAGTCTGAGCTGTGTTCAGTCAGCCTGGTATACACCATATCCTTGAATCTTGCAAATATCTCATCATCAGAACCTTTTGTTCTATCTGATATTCCAAATTATGATTTTTTTTTAGATACCTATGTTAAATTAACACTCCTGAACTCCATGGGGCAAGAGATGTCCAAATGCAAAACTTCAATCCGACGAGGACAGCCAAATCCAGTATACAAAGAAACCTTCGTTTTCCAAGTGGCGCTGTTTCAGCTCTCGGATGTAACGCTCATATTGTCTGTATATAATAAGCGCAGCATGAAACGAAAAGAGATGATAGGGTGGATATCCTTAGGTCTCAACAGCTCAGGAGAAGATGAACTCAACCACTGGACTGAAATGAAAGAATCTAAAGGACAGCAAGTATGTAGATGGCATACTTTACTAGAATCTTAATGAACTGTTCAAAGTGCAGTCGTGGTTTTAAGGGAATTTTGTCTTTTGAGATGATGATCATTTCAAGGCACAGTCTGCAGATTTGTTGCGGAAGTGAAAAATGAAAATTGAGATCAACATTCCATCTTAAAGAGTGCACAACCTGCAGAACAGTGGGATTGAATGTGTAATCTTCACTTAGTATCAAACACTTCCTTGGTGTCAGAGGAGCCTTGCTGTGTGCAAGTATGTTAGCAGTCCCTCCCCCATCCAGCTGATGCTGTATTTGTTTGGATTTGTTTTGTGTTTTTCAATTCAGTAATATTTTATGTGAACTTTTCCAAATTGATGCAAGCTCCTTATTGTGTACTTTTTGTAATGTAGCTTCTGACCTGCCTGCAATCAGACTAAGGGTCAGTAATTTGCACTATGAGAAAAAGTTGATGATCTGTAAAGCAAAAAACAAACAAACACCAATACCAAACAGGGAAAAAAAAAAACCCATACTGGGGAGAAGAACATTTAGTAATACGGCATATGTGAATACAGTGTTGTTTTACACTGAGTTTCTTTCCAGGAGCTGAGTACAATTAAGTTTTCATTTTTGATATGCAGTTGGTTTGAAAAATACTAGCATTTGGGCATCAGGTGAACTCTGACATAAATGTTTCTTCAATATGTGACAGGAACAAACTCTATAAATGGCATAAATTGGGTTTTTCCCCTTTGCCTGTACTTCTGCCTAATCCAAAGAGACCAGATCAGTAGTTTGGTCCCTTCCAAATCTCCTTAGACAGGTTGTACTGTAAAACTATGTAACTTTCTGTTGAAAGCACCTCCCGTGTTCATGTATTCCAATGTAGGAAGCTCACAGAGCATGATTTTACTAAAATATTTTTGTGTTAAACAAATTGATATGGGTTTCTTTAAAATGTCAGCAGTTAGAAGCTAGGTTTGAAAGACTGAAGATAGCGGCAGCAGCTGAACAACGCAGAATCAATGAAAAATATTATGACTTTGGTTAAAACAGGCATCCATTTGAAACTCTTCTGAGCAGTTTTAGGGACTATTCAGTGCTGTTTGTTGGAAGTACAGAGCAGACCAGGAGTTTTTTTTTACCTTTCTTCTTAGAGAAGACAGCATTAGTGAGTTTTTGGGTTTTTGTTTTTCTTTTTAGTGATTTGCCAGCTATTGAATGAATTTTCATGCCCAAAATAGAAATTTTCATTGTTTATGTTCAGGTTGGGAGGCACAGCTTTCTAACATAGTTGAGAAGCCACAGTATCACAAGGAACTTCTCTATCAGATGAACACTTCTGGCTTCCACTGAAATTAGGAAAATGACTGTGTGTCCAAGATTCCAGTTTGTTCCAAATATTTTAGAGGGAATCACACTAATTGTCTGACTGCTGAAACCAATTCAGCTTAGTGAAATAGTCAATTATTGAGTAATTATTGTTTTTAAAAGCTTCCCAGTTCAAATATTCTAGTTGCCTGTAGTGATGTTAGGTTTGCTTTTGTTACCACACAGAAAGCAAACATATTTGTTCTTCTTATAAATGGTGTTGATGTCTTACTAGTATGAAATCTCACAGACTGTTTCAACACGTGGTAGCTAGAAGAGTGAAGTTTAGGATTTTGTTGAGACAATTAGTGGTAGCCTAGAGCGTTCTGAGTAAGACAATTTTTTTTTTCTAAGTTGAATTTGTTTAGAATACCTTTGAACAATCCTGGCTTTAGGATATACAGTCGAGTATAGTGAGATTGGAGACAGCAACTATAGTATAAGATATTTCATGTAGTTCTCAAATTCTCACACTAGTTAACAATTTAACTAGGGCCTTTCTAAGTGTATTGTAGTTCCACTTAGTTTATTTGGTGCCTTCTGATGGGCTTATTTGCAGTGCCAGGTTTTCTGGTTTTAAAGATCTAAGATTTAAATATTAGCAGGCCTTTTTTTTTTTTTTAAATCTTATATTGCACTGCTGCTTCATTTATGGAAGATTTATTTACTACATAGAAATAATCCAAAAACTCTTTAACTTGGAAAGATCTTGCAGTGCTACAATACAGTTTGTTTCTTCTAGTCCTTGTTGTTCCTCAATTTGTGAAGTGCAGTGTTAAGTGTAGCCTTCAACTAAAAAAAGCAAACGTTAATTTTATATACATAAGAAAATTGCTCAGATTTTTCCCAATCCTTTTCTCTTTCCTACAATAGAAATTCTGACCTAAATGCTGATCAAAAGCAATTTTTCAATGGGCGTGGAACCATTTTCACTCGTTCTGTTTGTGAATATTCTGATGCTTTTTTTCCTGAAGCTGAAATGTGTCTCTTAATGATCGTCTCTTTGAACAGGTTTTGCTTTGTAAAATAATGTACAGTATTTAACAGCAGAAATGGAAGAAATTAATTCTAATGGAGGATATATTTCATGTTGCCACTGAACAAATGAAGAAGCCAGTTTGGAAGGTGTAGCATGTAACCTCTTACAGAATTCAAACTAAACCAGCCATGTCATGACTTCGGTTTCTGTTTGTAGGTTGCACTGTTTCAGTTTTACATGTAATCAGTCAGTTTTCTAAGACACTGAAACCTTAATTTAGACACAGCAGATATTTATAGTAATCTCTCTTGGACACATTTGGGAAAAGGAATCTCTTTCCAGATTATGTGACTCTTCCCAAGGTATCTAGTTCCAGTTTGTGCTTCACAGAGGAAAGTTTGGCTAATTTGGGTTTATTCAGTAAAGGCTGGAACCTGTAAAGAATGGAAATGAATATATAATTTTCAGGTGGTAGAATATTGATTTTCCGTGTAAAACCAGTCACAGCAATAATTGGGTTCACCCTGGCATTTTTATGAATTAGTTATAGAATCAGTAGCTGTCACGTTCTTTCTTCACAGATGCCATTCTTATGCTTTGTTCATCATTTTGTTCATCTGATTGTTTTAAGTGAACCAATACTTTCTCATTTGAAATCTGCCTTGGATATGTAAGACCTGTCATAGGGGTTTATTCATATACTGTGTTTTTGTGCATTCAGCTAAGTCTCAAGTGTGGAAGAGAATTTCTAAAGAACCAAGTGTTCGAAACAAATTAGAAATGGGCATTTGTGTTTTTCTTGGATTTGTCTGTGTTCTTCATAGCTTTTTATTGCTTATCTTTATTCAAAAGTACAACTGGTACTTGGAAGAGTTTACCAAATTGTTTAATCACTTTTCTGTTTGTCAATATATTACATAGAGATGAAAACTCTTGAATGGAATGTTTCCTGCCAGCAAAGGTTAAAGTGTAGAATAGTGAAGTTTTTACAGACTCTATTCCTGAAAATATTCCATCCTTTTTGTATATAACCTAATTATTTTAATGTTTAGAACATTTCATGTAGATCTTCTCAAAGGTAAACTTTTCTTGAAGATAATAAATGTGGAAGAAGATCAGTTAGTTCCTTTCACAATCTGTGGTATGGGCAAGATTGCAGTCTGTACAGAAGTGTGAAATCACTGATTCAAAGATTGGTATCTGTGGTGCTGCTTCAGGGGCAGCCACGCTGTAACTACACATTGAGTCTGACAGCAGAGGCAGGAGCCAGGCTAGGTGTATGTTCTGCTATTGGAGAAACGTGATGTAATTTTTCAATCCAGTTACATTTGCAGTCCTCTAATTTAATTAATAATTAGGTTACAAATAAGGTGAGCCTTTGGGGTTAATGTATTTGCTTTTATTGGAGATAAAGGTTATTTATCAATGTAGAGAATACTGAAGCTGAAAACTGTTTTGTTTTGTTTTGTTTTTTTGTCATTTGCTCTAGGAAATATTTTCACCTGTAAATTCTTGCAACTGTTCTGATGCAAATGCAGTGCTTTTTCAGAGTTTTGAAGCAATGTTTTTGTTGTATAAAAGTTGTGTTACTGATTTATTCTCTTTACTCCCTAATGATTTGCTCCTGCTTTGAGCACCTTGAGAAGCTGTCCGTGGCAGTCAGTGGAGCTTAGAAGTCAAGGGCACCCTGCACTCTTACCACAACGTAACGGTGCAAAATCCTGTGATCTGTCCAACTCTTAAGTTTTCTGAAATGTAAATCATCAGCTCTAATATGATGAAGCAGAAGACAAGACAAAAACTTTTTTTTCATGGAGACTTTTTAATGTATTAATTGAATACAGATTGCTCTTAACATGTATGAATTCTAACAAAAAGTCTGTGCTAAAATAAGAGAATGATGTTTGATGGGAAACCTCTTTGCCTGAGCTATTCCAGCTTGAAACTAACAGCACAATGTTTTTTCACTTATCCAGGAATTGTGCTGAGCCCTTATTCATCACACTTTTCTGTATGGAAAAAAAAAAAAAGCTATCTTGTCTAAAGCAGGCTTTAATATTACAGCTTGTCAGTTGCAAGGCAGATTGACTTCATCCTTAAGCTGAATACTCAGTAGCAATTCAACATTCATTTAATTCTCTCACAGATGTGCATGTATACCTGCCATTAACATCAGTGAGAGGAACCTATGGGATCATCAGGAGAGAAGACCTGACCCTGAAAGTGTTACGTGTGATACGATCAGTAGATTAGAGGAGTGATACAGCATGGCACCTGCAGCACAGGCAGATGAGATTCCAGTGATGAATAATGTCAGAAAAACAAATATCAAGGTACCACCACAAATTCATTATTTAGTCCTTTACGTATCTCTTATTTTTGTTTCTTCTCTTCCTATGGATATAGCTTAAATACTTAATAGTAAAAATGTTCAAGCAATCACCAAACATCTTGATTGCTTGGGCTGGAATATTCAGCAAAGTTTATTGTTAGAACAAGCTGTCAGTAAGTTTCTATTTTGTTGGTCTACTTAGTGAGTAGCCAGATCTTGTAGTTTATCACAGCTGTGTTTCAGACTACTTTGTTCTGGTAGTAATTTTTGAGGGGAAAGTCACTGGAGCATTTGTTTCAGTGAAATGATACCTGATGAAGAGATGTCTTCTGAGACTGAAAGCATTAAAATAAGAAATGGCTTCACACAGTGGTAGACTCCAATTCCACTTGTGGAGCTTTGTGGTCCTTGGAGGGCCCTTTTCATAGAAAGTGTCATGTGCATTATAGGAGTGTATACATGCAAATCTGCACATGCTGCTCTTTGTGGGATCCCCAGGGCTTTTAACCTAGCATATTTTACAGAGAAAAGAAGAGTAGGTAAGTGTTTATGTGCAGGGTGAGTACAAACTGGCCTACAGTGATGTGGATTAGTTTAGCCTTAAGAACTTACCACTGCCCCTCCTTAAGTTCAAGCAGGGTTTCTTCCTTTCTGCAGACTATGCAGAAATCTTAAGCACTTAATGTATTTGTTTGTGTTATGCCTACCTGAATATGGCACAACTGTTCTAATGTTAGCAAGCTTAGTGCATATTTGACATGGTGTGTCTGAACTAATAGTTGGTCTGATACTTACTAGACCAGGTCTTGCTGTGCAGGGTTTTGCTTGTATAATATAGAATAAAATCTGTGTAGGGAGGAATAGGCCAGGATTTAGGGAAGTGGATAGTATTGCCGCTTTAGGGATGAAGACCAAGAAACAGCTATACCCAGAAAGTGGGCAATCATTTGCTTCTTGGAAGCATCTGCTGATAGCGCTGGTACAGTCCTGCCAAAAGCTGCCCGTCTCTGAGGATAACACTCAGGAGAGCAGAAGCAGTAATGCTGTGCTACATGGAATACCTCGTGGACATTCAGGGATGTAATTGATGTCATCCTCTTTCTCTTATATATGAGGAGTTTTGCCCATTGTATCAAGTTAATTCCTTTGCTGTGTTTTGCAAATTCTATGGGCAATCACTGCATGCCTGGGGTTTAAAATGGAATTGCTTTATAACTTTTAATTCATTTTCAAAGCATGATTTTGAATTTTCAGGATTAACCAGAAGCATTATCATAGCTTTAAGATGTAAGGTAATTTCTTGGCCATAATGCGAGCAAAGGGCAGGGCTTTGAACAAGTTTTGATAGGAAATTTTGCAAATGGCTTATTGTGACATTTTAAGAAAATTTCTAAGCAGTTGAATGTATTAGGGCATATTTACAAAAAAAAAGGAAAAAAAAAAAAAGGAAATAGAGCGATGATCTTTTTTTACTACACAGCTAATTTGCTGTCCTTTCCAGTAAACCACAAGGTTCATTAGTGCTCCGTACTGTTTTGTTTATGATGATAACTGTTTTTAATGTGATTTTCCTGACAAAGTGTAATTAGTGAAACCTTTTATTCAATTTTTCCCTTTCTTTGCTTTTTTTAAGGAGAAATTTCTCCTTATATAGTATATATACTTTCTTACAGAGCTTTCTTACCTATTTTTCTATAAGATGATTTAACAATCTGAAATTAAATGCTCTATGAGCAAGCTATATCACTGTTACACAATCTAAAGTGCTAATATAATGACTAAGGGCCTGAACCTACTGCCTTTCACTCAGGTTTTGGTTTAACCACACTTTTTTCACGTTGTGTAGTACCTTTCCCCATAAGCAGCTCCATCTATTTCTCTGGAGTGACTCAGAGAAAGGTACTATTAACATGAGTAACAGTGGTAAAACTGAGCCTCCTCTCCATTCTTAGCGGGACATCTGTCGTGAGTAAAGGCTGCTGGCTCTGTCCCAAAAGTGTAGTTATAGATTATAGTTCCCTTGATCTTCAGTAATTTTGAACGTGTTTTCTGGTGACTATAAGCTAATAACTGATTGTAGTGAATACAAATATTGAATTGTGCTGTTGTCAGCGAGGTTATTAAAATGTGCTTCACATTTTAATTCATTCATTGGGATATAAGTAATTGGGTTTGTGAAGCATTATATTACATAGAGATAGCACACATTCACCACATTTTTAATAAGTGTATGAAATAAATGGTATGTAGCATTTTCTTGCATACTTTTATACTGCCTGTACGCCACCGATGCACTCGGTGCCTTGTTTCTTATGAGACCAATATGTAGAGAAACTAATGTATCACATGTAAGCAATGTTACTGCAACACAAGAGCTCTCTTCACCTGATTATCCCTAGAATGGGAGGTTTCCAATAGCGGTACAGTTTGATGCAATGCATTTCCTTGAGATTTAGGCTTTCCCCTTTCCTCCCTCATCCCGCCTTTCCAGAAACCTCCTCACACGACTGTTCATCCCCAGCTGATTCCCGTGTCTGATGTAAGTCACATGATGTTAACCAAAGAACCAAGGCTGTTTCTAATTCTTCAGACAAACAATGTTTTGACTCGCCGTTATTTAAAGACAGAAATGACATAATAGATCTTTTTGAAGAAATATAAAATGAGCTTCTGTAAATGTGACTCACAGCTGAGAATTTGAGATACCTCTTTTCTGACTGGTTGTATCAGTAGCAATGTGCTTGATTTCTATTTCTTTGTGTTTTTTAATCAAAGCCACATCACAAAAAGATAAGTCAGTGCTGTCAAATTAGCTTATTTTACTCATTTTATACATAGATCTGAAGTGTGCAATTTTGAGAACAGATTCAGCTTTTGTCTGAAGTCCTGTGTTGTACAGTAACTGTCTAGCATATACTGGTCGTACGGAAGCAGACTCATGCTGCACTATATGTACATTTCCTACCGGCATCCTCGTCATTGGAGAATTTATGTAATATAACACGGTTTTCAACTAATGTTTCAACTTGAATTTCCTTGAAATTCAGAGCATGTATAGCCTTAAACATTTAAGACACCAAGCACAGTTTTCAAGGGAAGAGGTTATATTTGCAAGTCCTGTTTAGCACAGAAATGGAAGAATTATTTTTATATGTCAATCAAAGATCATAGAAAATGGGTATTATGCAGTCGTGTTACCAACCATGCTCCTAATTATATGCTTTTATAAAAAGCATTTTGGCTGAACTTTTTAGACATGAAACATCAGTGCTCATTTTCCTTCTTGAATTTGCTGATTTTGTTGTTGTGCTTTCATTTCTGTACAGAATCTCGGAGTCTGTGTTTTCTCTCTGCTTTCAGAATTCTCAAGCTTCTTTTCCTATTCTGTGCTTTTAAGTTGAATAAGCAGTAATTACAATTCTTTCTTTATTTTTTTTTTAATTTATTTTGATAGTAACATGGAGTGAATGACTGTTTTCAACTGTTTACGTAGCTTATTAAATTCTTAAGACTTTGTTTAAATCTGTCATTATAACACAGATGAAGACATTCCTTTCATGGTGTCTCAGTCCACAGCAGGTGAAAATGGAATTCTGGCAATGAGTGTGTGGATCTGCATATTGGGTGTCAAATAGCGAATCCCTGGAAGGATTTATAATTATGTGTCACACTGTATCTACAGCATCTCCAGTCGTGTGATGTCAGATACTTCTTGTTTTCTTTATTATTAACTAGCAAAAAACCGACTTTTATCATTTTGTGCTAGTGTATATTAAACTTGAGGGTTTTCAATGTGCAAGATTAGTTAGTGTTTTCAGCATTCTTTCTGTAAAAAAAAAATAATAATAATAATAACAACAAAGCTGGTCTTTCAATGTATGCATTCCAGTACTATTATGATTTTGGCAAGAGGCAAAATGTCACCAGCCATTTGTCACTGTATTTACCTGTACAGCACAGGTAACTTTAATTCCGTGTTGGTTTGACGAAAACATGCTCTGGTATACTTTCAGACTGTGGATCTGTCACATTAAAATAGTCATTTTGCATACCTGAAGCTTTGCAGCTGCCATTTTCTATTTTGTTTGCTCTCTCTATTTGCATTGATTACTCTGTGAAATGTATTTCTGTCAGTTTTGGGACAGGAATGATATCCTTTGGTTAATTCAAAATATTTTCTGTGCGTGGAATCAGCTTTTTGCATGTCGACTTAATTCCTGGAAAGTATTTGAGAAAAGGAAAAAATACTTTTAAAACTTGGTGTTGTCACTTTCCTTTGGAATTCATTAGATCTTAAACACACATAATAGGCTTCATTTTTTAGGAGATAGTAACACTTTGTTAAGTATTTGAACTGCTGTCTGCATTAGAAGAAAAACTTAAATTTTGGCTCTGTTTCCCAATTTCCCAAGTTCCCACAATTCCATTTCTCAGTCTTTATGGGTGTCTTGAATCTTCTACTTGGAAAATTTTAGATTAACCAGTGTGAAAATGTTCTGACAAATATGATCTGTATACTGGCAAATAAAGACACGCTCAGGTGACAATTCTGACTGACCTTGGAAATTGGTTTTACACAGTTCTTTTCTGGGGTTATATATGATTCTTTGTACTACTTTGTCCTGCATGTATTTCTCAGGAACAGTCACAACTAAAATACTTACTTTCCACATTCTGTAGAAGAAGTAGGCTGAAATACTGGAAGTTAAACGTAAAGAAACACTTTCCATAAGTATGAGTTATAATGTCATTGTGAACCAGCTGAGATCTTCTATTCTACTTCTACTGCTTCTATACTACTCTAATGGTTGTGTTATCTGTTAGAAAAAAGTTTTCTGGGCTCTTATGGCAGTTCTGCTTTACAGTGTGCCTGGATGCTTGGATATATGTATTTATTAATGTGTGTTAGCAGACATCCTATTCTAAAACTAGGAAGACTTGGGAAAAAGAGTTTCTATTGTTTCTTCCCATTTCCGCAGATGAAAGGAGCATAGCCCAGTGAATCATCTGGACCCTTGTCATCTGTGCACATCCTATGACTTCTACAACTGGATAATGTGGCACTTGCTAGTTTTAAGGCTGGCATTTTCAAAAGGCAATATACTTTAAAATAATTTGCCATTCCATATGGCAACTGGTACATATTTGATAGTTAAGAGACTTCAAGAAGAGCACTTAATGTGTGTCTGTATTCTTTGGTCAGTGTCATAAGTATTTGATAACTCTTGTCAGTATGGGAAAAAAATGGTACAAGACCTACTAAAACATGATTCATGTGAGCTATCAGATATTTCTTTAAAAACTGATGATTTATGAAGCTGTGAAAACGTAGAAGAAATGAAAGAAATATGTAGTCAATGTGGTAATAGTTGTTCACCATTTCTGAACAGCAATGTTCTATCCAAAAATCATAACCTAAAAGAGTTAATACACATTATGTATCAAATCCAACTTGAGCTCCATGGGCGGCACCTTTCGGTCACCTATGTTCCACACAGGTAGCTGAACAGAATTAGGTTAATGCTCATAGTTCCTAAATAGCTTGTTGTGCAGGGGCACATGTTTCAGAGCCAAATTGCATCATTTCTATGCAGATGTACCTTCACTTGTCAAAGGCTCTCTCTGAATAGTTGTCTTCATACAGCAAATTCCACATTAGGTATTATTTTAGAATCTCTTTGAAGTCACTAGTTACTCATTTCCCAAAGCTCCTGTGGGTAAGGGCCGTCTCTCATTTTCCTGCTGAAATCTGTAACCTGCATTTTCTCTCTGGTGTTGTTGTTTTTAGAGTCCAGCAGTGCAATTCTAATTTAGTGTTCAATTCACATTAGACGTGTGATTTACTTGTAAATTACCCTACTTTTCTAAAATCAGTGAGAGCAATAGTAAGGCATTTTGTTACCTGCTTATCATTTTGAGTAGGGGTTCTAAAAAGGCAGATTTGCTGTTGGGAATAGTAAGGATAAAAGGAAGCAAGGAAGCCTAAAAACGTACAAATGAAATAAATTATCATCGAGTACGATCATGCAACAAATCACTTGGGGTTTAGATAAATGATTTATTATTAAATTCAAAACCTAATAGGTTTGTGTGTTCTGAGTGCAGTTTACAGTGGTTTGTTTTCCACTTAATTAGAAGCCTTACATTTCATCTTATTAATAATGAAAATCCTCTTGTCAAATAGTGTAAAATCATGTTGAACTAATATGTATATTTTAGAGGCAGAATAAATCCCCCCCATTGCATTTCATATTATTTCATTGCATTATGCAAAGGGGAAAAAAAAAAAAAAAAAAGACATTCTGCTTTTAATTTTGCTAGTTTAAAATAAGGAAGCTCAATCTTTCATTCATGCTTGAGGAAGTCCAGAGCTGTAATGAGGATGGTTCAATCGCGCTAGCCACTGTTTACAGTTAAAGGTTAATTGTAAGCAGGAATCCAGAACACCAGGCCAATTCATCTCAATAAATAAAAATATAAAGGATTATAATCAGTATTTAAAACTGATCCTGTTGTATCAGTTCTGTTGCAGCAGTGTAATAGTTAAGAAAGGGAACAGGCACCAATCTGCCAAAGGAGATGAGGTTTGTATCCCATTTGATTATCGGAGCTAGGAACACATTTTCCATGATGTCGCAGCATTTGCACCTGCTTGTGCTGAGACTTAAAATACCAGTAGGCTAAAACATTGGTCACAAGCCTCTGCTAATTAATGCCTTACCAGAAAACATCTGGTATTCTTAGGAATACAGGAGATGCAGAGCATAGAGACCACTCATATTTATTAAAAGAGAAAAAGCAACCAACCATTCAACAGAACTCCAAAGCAGTCAGCCAAGTTAAGGTCATGAAAACGTACCCAGATCTAAGCCCCAGGGTCAAATCATCACACCAGCTTGTTGCAGCTTTCTGAGACTCTAAAACACGTAGGAGAATACGTGTCAGGCCAACAGGCTAGGGAACAGCACTAACCATTCAGCCTTCACCATCTGCTCTGTGTACAGCCAAGCTAACAAACATGATGAGGTAGTTCTATATGTTTCCTTATTTCCAAGCACATGGTTTCTCTGCTGAACTACACAGAAGGCATGCCAGCAGACACAGACTATTGCCGTTGACAAAACTGGTTTTACATTGTGAAGTAGCAGCGCTTGTTGGGAAATAGCAATCAGGCTGTTTCCAGCCTCTTGAACACACTTTTAAATAAAACAGCATGAGGGCAAGGTGCTATGTGTTGGCCTAAGCATAGGGCAAGAAAGTGGGAATTGCAATTAATTTCCCATTTGATACAGACTGGCTTTGCAGCCTCAGCTGAGACCCTTATTTTGGCCCTTCTTAGGCCAAAATGCTTCTTGTCCCTTATTTTCATTCCTAAAATTCCAGTTTTCTTCCATGTCACTGATAAATCCAGGCACTGAATGACCTGCTATCATATGAAATTAATCTGTAGGGCTGATGTGCAGCTTCTGCTAAAAGACAGTGTCTCTAAAGGGTTGTTCTAAAGAAATTGTAGCACATGGTATTATATGTGGAAGAATGCTTTTCTGTTTGACGATACCAAAGATAATGTTGAATACCTTGGTTGTGTGGTCTCTTTGGGATCCTCGCTACCAGCAAGAGCTGCTGAACGATCGGGATGAACCTATCAAGATCTTAAAGTGCAGTTTTTAGTGGGGTAGTCCACCTGTGTGGCTGGATTGAGTGTGGAAGAGTGCTGGTGCCAGCACAGGGATGAGAGGCAGAGCACAGGGAAGGGTCAGCACTTGACTAAGTATGGCTCTGAAACTACCACCTGAAAAAACTTAGGGATATGGAGGCATTTTACATTGATGACTATTGCCTGAAAGGAATATATCCAACCTTTTCTCATCTTATTTCAAAAAAATCTTGCCAAACTTGTTGAAAATGAAATCCATAGGGGCAGACAGAACTGATTCCAAATAAGTTTGGAACATCACAGTGTCGTCTTGAAATTGCTATTAGTTGAGGTATAACTCACCCTTTCAGAAAAATCAATTAGAAAACACATGGGGATGCCATCATTTAAAATCAATGTTGAGTTGGAGGTTCTCTCAAATCTCCAGTAACAGTCCCTCTTGTTTTTCTCCTTCTGCCCCCAGAATAGTGGTCCCACAGCAAGACTTGTGTGGAGGCCTGGGTTGCCCTGAGGGCTTTGTGCATGGGTGGGTGGGGGGGCTGCTCCCTGTGCCTGGGCCCCAGGAGAGCCCTGTGAGAGGGAGGGTGCTGGTGCATGACCCACATGGGAGCACCAGCAAGCTGAGAGGTGGTGACTGCCGAAGGCAAGTCTGAAGCAGGCACTTCTGGGCAAATGTGCTGGTAACTCACCCATCGCACATCTTGCACGCTGATCTGCTCCTCCGCTTCCTTTCTGGTTTTTCTGTGGAGTGGATCGATCCACCCTTAAGCAAGTGCTTCACTGCCAGAAATATTTCAAAGAATTGTTCTTCCTTAGTGCCTATCCCACCCTCTCTAATTATGCATAACGTCTCGCTGAAAGCTTTCTCAAAAGGTAGACGTGCCGCATAACATCTATTACGTTGAGAGCCTGAAGACCAGAATACACTTAAACTGTTCATTGTCATTCTGGGCAATCCAAATTAAACATCCCTGGAAAATGCTGCACTCAGAAGTACAAAAGCTGTAAAATGATTCAACAAGTTCACAGTCCATATAACCACTGTGAGACAAATGTTTCTGCCTTGCACTAAGGATGGAAATGTTGTCTTTATGTGAGCGTGCATTCTGAAACTGTGAACCCAGCACGGTGTTTTCTACTCAGACCTTCAGCCTTTGTTTGTCCCTGGTGATGCTCTTTGTCA